AACTAGTCTCGTTATTGAAATGGATTATACCTACACGGAGTAAAAACTGCAGCCCACTCTGAGTAAAGATAACCCTTGAAAAAAAAGGCCAAACAAAATTCACTGTTAGTGAGGCCTGTTCACGACAGCTAAAAATCTACTATTAATCCACTTCAATTACAATGAAGAATGGGTAGCGAAGTAAGAATCAGAGGCTCTTGAAGTCCCCTGGCATGTACAATGGAGGCAACATAAAATTAGGATTGCTGGTATAGAGATAATGCCGTTACTGAAGGACTAAGTGACATGATTAATTCTGAGCCCTTTATAGAAGCGAAATAGAAAGACGCATAGCATTAGTATGAAGCCCCATAGACAGCAATCCAATTAACAGCCACGACGACTGCAGATATCCACTAACTCACCCACACTAACCCACCACTTAAGCAGCGATGGTACCAAGGAAATTGTTAAGTTAAATGGTGATAATTTAAGCCTATTTTACACAAGTCAAGCCCGAGTTAAAAGTTCAGGGGCATGAAAACGCTGCAATTGATGAGGCAATGCCAAAATCGTAGTGGAGATGAAAATATGGACTTGTCTCTACGTTTAAACTTAATAAATACTTGCCAGACACTTCTCTCCAACCATAGAAACTATGAATCAAACTATAAACGGGAAATAAAACAAAAATACCCACAGGAAATAGGATAAATGAATGAAGAATTAGGCAAATATAGAAATTAATATATGACTACATGATGAAAATGATTAACGTAGCATATAGCTCTTAAAAGCAGATACTATGAAGCAAAATATAGTCGAATTCGAGGACGCATTGTGCATAGGAGGCTAACAAACGATGTCGGAAAGCAGATAATCAGCATAAAGTGGGCTTGTTGGCCCACAAATAAATCGATTTAGCAAATGACTTACGGAAATAAAGAGGCGAAAAAGAACCCGTTTGGAAAAGGAAAACTAAGAAAGCCAGAGGTCATATTACATTTGGTACACGAAAATTAGTTCGATTTGATAGCCTTAGCCCTAGGCGGGCCAGATCGGAAGCCATATTTGAAACGTCTATGCACTTTTCTAAGATGTGATGTGCGTCCTGTACCAGTTGTATTTCGGCAGATCGCCTTCTGTGACCAGTTATACTTCCGCATTCGAGCTGAAGGATACCCACAAGCAGAGCATGTCTTTTTTTGTATGTGATAGGCCCTTCGACCACAGCGTCTACATTGGGTATGCGTCTTATTGCGCCTCTTACCAAAGGAAGTAGTACCCTTTGTCATGCTTTAGGGAAGGAATAAGGCAAATAGGAAAGAAGCGTGGCACACTAACCCAGTGAATCAGCCGCCGCAAAGGAGAAGAAAGCTTAACTGCAGGGAGTTCAAAACCCTACACGGCATAAAATGATCCTATTATTTATGCTATAATTATGTTATTTTTGTGATATTTAATTTTGAAGCTAAGCCTACCGAAAGTTTTATATTTGAATAAAAATAGATGAAATATTGTTTTCCTGACTGCAAATTCTTCTTTAGCCCCCAATTAAATATAAGTACAATTCAGTAACTATTAACCCAATTTAACCTATCACGTCTCTATAAGAATTTTTAAATATCTTATTTGATTAACATAATGTATAGTTGTTTTTATTTCAATGGGAATATTGAAAAATGTTTTTACCCAGTGAATGCTCGCATACAAGACAACATATGATTTAATTATTTAGGTTAAATTAATGAATGAGCCAAGATACATCAAATGATATTCAGTCCTCTTATTTATTTCAACTTTTATTTCATAATGATTGATCTATAGTCAAAATTGAGGTTTCACATCTTGTATCATGAATATATTCGGTATAATATTAACAGAGCTCTATTTTACAAATTGTGAGTGTACTCTAAAACTATCAGAATATCTTTATAAGGTATTTTAGTCACACAAGGGAAGAAATGTCTAATATCTTACAATTATATATATATAGGTCTCACAACGAAACTGATTCAAACCCAACATAACCTTTTAAAAAGTATTTGATTTCAGGCTTGGTTGCAAGTTTGGCCTCCTCCAGATCTAATTAGAACACACAAAATGATTATAAACAATGCCGTGAGCGTTGAATTTACTTCCATTTAGAGTGAAAGTGTTTAATGAAGAGATTAGAAGGTCGATTCCAATAGAAGACGAAGGAGGATTCCTCTTGACCAGTTGTTAATTTGCTTTACTGGAAGATTCATGGTGACGCTAGTTCCGAGGTAACCTCCTTCAATTCCGGTGAAAAGGTTCTAAGATTTCGTTCTTCATATGACAAACAGCATCAGAACAAGGTATTATCGTCACAAACTTATTCAAGCTTACGAGTCAAGAAAACTCACCGGCAAATCCATAAAAAGTGGTACATATACTCTACATCTGGCCTCTTTGAGCATGTATAAACTAATTTGGTTAGTTACGGTCATATGTCAACTTCGAAGCCTGTGAGTGTGTCTGTTCCTGTATATGCCTGTTTGTGTTCGCTTATGCACGAAACCCGCAGTGACGGCTCAAAGTAATTAGGACAGTAAAAGTGACCTCTGTTCTCGACCATCAAGTTTTGATGCTCACTGTCTCCTCTTTTCTATATACATTTTATTACCATCACTTTGATTGTGCAAGATCGGATACACGTCTGGTTTTCTTGATGAGCCAATTTTTTGATTTTGGTCTTAATGTGAGTGAGAAGGAGTGAGCTAAAAGTACAGTGAAGTGACTATGATTAGAACAAAGACAAGAATAGACATGTTGCGTCGCCTCCTTTTTGCAGGTGGCTTAACTCCCTCTCTATCCTTGAGTCTATTCATTAAGCACAAGTAATTTTTACTTATCTTCTAACCAATATTCCTTACATTCAATGTATTTCCTATTCGGTTTATTTTAATGGCTTCTCTACTTTTACATTTAGCCGCAGACATGCCATAATCAGCAAAACGAGAAGTTTGAGGCCATTAAATCTCGTGTCCTGTTCCTGCTTTGTGCGCAGCCAGCTCCGATTTTTGAATCTAACTGCATTTAAAGACGCTTTTTTGATCAGCCACCCTTTGTTGAATAGGACGACAAGTCTCTTCAACATAAAAGCGACCACGTGAACACATTATTTTATAACAACCCGATAATGAGTCAATTTTCTCCCTAAAAGTGGGCATAACTGAAGAAAGTGTCGTAGTTTCCCTGAAAACCGTTTTTATTCCCCACTTCCTTACTTGTTCACCTATCCTTTTAGGGAGAATGCACGAAGTTAAAGACAGAACATGAAAAAAGGTCTCCTTATCTCTCCTTACGTATTCACCATTCAAAATGCTATTTTTAAAATAATCTAATGCTATTTTTAATCAAGCCTAGGGGATTGTTATACTCAAGAAATATCATTTCAAGCTGATCCAGTTCATTTTCACATTAGTATCTATCAGCAAGTATAATGCTCCGAATAATCAAGGATTTTAAAACTCCTACCTTTGTTTTGTAACTATGATTTTAGAAGTAAATTATAAAGCCAGCATTCGTTGGCTTTCTATAGATATCTCTGCTTAACTTCTCACCTGCTCTGATCACTAAGACATCTAAAAAGGGTAAATTATTTTTCATCTCTATCTGCATTGCCAAACTAACAGTGCAATCAATCTGGTTAATTAAAAACAAGAAAATATCTAAACTATACTTGCAATGCTGCCATTAGTAAAGTAATCATCCATATATCTAACTAACAGTTCGGGTGTCAAACTTACCTATTCCATTAAGATTTCCTCCTTTCTGGACATGCAATTATTAGCTAAAATGGGAGCCAAGCAAGATCACATTGCTAGGCCTTGCACCTGTTCATAAACCTTATCATTAAAGGTAAAGTATGTGCTGCTCATGGATAGATTAAGAAGCCTAAAGATTGAGCCTTTGCTCAGATTTTCTTCCCCAATAATTTCAGAGACGACCAAGTATTGGCACCACAATCCGCACCATACAGCAGCCGTTTTCCTGTCTGCTCCATTAGAGAAAAGTAATTCACTTTATTAAAAAAAGGCCATTGTGAAGTGGTAAGCATAGACAGACTTGAGCCTTCATAAATCGACAAGACAGATGACATCCCAATAACAAAGCGCACATCAAGCAAACCAATAGTGAGGAGAAAAAGAACGCAATCCAAACAGCTTATACAGCTGAGAAAAATAACCAATTTTGCATCGGGAACCTGATGCAACTATCATTTACCTTCGTTTTTCTTCCGAGTCTATTCTATTCGGGTCAGCCTCTAGGGGGGAGGACTGTAATGACTTTTACTTCATGATCAGTTTGCCTACAACTATAATGGTTATCTTTCGTCTCATGCAACATCAAGCGGGGCATGACTCACCGATATCGTGTCCCACGGGGACTAGACAAACCTAGTCACCACATCAAGACTCTCCGTAGAACCAATATGAACGTGGCATTAAAATTACACAAGAGAAATTCCATAGATTGACACTCTACTTGTCCCACCATTCCTCTGGTGCCAGAATTATCCTCTGTGACTGAATATTGACCTTTTACACCAATATCACACTCCACGATCGTCAATTTTCTTCCCACAGCAAGATCCTCGCCTGTAACATTGACTCCTAACTACAAGGCATTCAGTAACTCCTTTTCTTGGTCCTTTATGCAAGACTGTGCAATTTTAGATAGTAGCGCAAAGCTGAGCACATATTAATAGTGGATATTTTAGATTCACTAAAAAACTATTCGGTAAACTCTCATTTATTCATTTTGCTTAGTCAATTCTGACTGGGGTACATAGGCACATTTGTGAGAATTGATGGATTCTTCTTGACTTTGGCGAATAGGGCCATAGGTAAACCAATATGTGAGCGAGCACGTGAGCCAAAATTCTTTTGACAGCCTGATTTCGATAATGAATCAAATTTATC